AGATAAAAAAATATACTTAAGTAACGTTTCATAACTCGGTAGTAATTAAACTTTTGTGAGTTTCTTTTTTTTTTTTTGTCTCTTTGAGACAGGGTCTCGCTATGCCGTTCAGGCTGGCCTTGAGCTCACTTTGTAGCCCAGGCTGGTCTTGAACTCCTAGGATCCCCCCCACCTCAGCCTCCTAAGTGCTGGGATTACAGGCGTGCACCAGCCACCATGCCCGGCAATAGTAACTGAAATTTTGATTCTACTTTTAAAATCTGCACTCTCTTCTTCTGTACTTTCTAATGCACTACTTCTTTTTCCAGAAATGTCCACTGTTCAGCCACTCTTACCTAAGGCAATGCATGTATCTATTACCAATACAGAAGTTTCCTTGCACAGTAATTACCCTAAAGACAACCCAGTTTTTTAGAGTAGGTAAGAAAAGCATCTCCTTGAGGTTTCCTGCCACCTTTTCTTCATTTATTCATTCATCCAACATCTACTGAGCACCAGAAAAATGAACAGATCAGAAATGGTTACTGTGCTATTTCCCACCTAATGGAGGCCGCAGACTTCAGTTAACACAAAGCAGAAGTTACTTATAAGGACCATGGGCTAGGACACAAGGGGGCTCTTTCAAAGATTTAATGGCCCGGCCTTTTAGTAAGGTAATATTTCAGCTGAAACCAAAAAGACAGAAGATGCTAGCATGCCGAGACAGAAAACAAAGCTGCAGGCAGACAGGATCACAGCTGGGAAGAGCTGCCTGAATAGAGAAAATAAAAGGCCATCGCAGGCCAGTCCTCGTTCCCTTACTGTTGGCATGGCTACTCCCAGTCCCTCACGGTGAGAAATGGGAGCGCCGTCCTGCGGGATGTCCTTCCTGCTCCTCTTCACCTCACTCACGCCTTCTACCGCGCTCTGTAGTGGCTTAGGAGGCCTCATTTCTCTTTCCTAAGGTCCTTGAATCCCCATGTGCCTAAAGGCACATGCAGCACACAGTAGGTGCCCAGCAAATATGTGCTAAATGACTGGATGAGTATTTGTAACAAACGGGCTCGTTCAGGCCCTGGGCTCCACACCACAAGAAGACCTCAGCAATGGATTTGCCTCTTACCTCCTGAAAGGGTGGAGAGTTTACTAAATGAGTGAGGAATCCTAGTACCACCCTCTAGCATGAGTTGAATGTTACAGCTTCTTAAAATCTGAGACATATTTCTGAGTCTTGTCCTTTTCTCTATTACTATTATTATTATTATCACCATCAACATCCTGCTGTGCCTGGCCAGCCTCAGATTCCTATGCTCCCACAATCTTCCTACCCCAAAACCACAAGTAGGTGGGACTACTGGTGTCCACCACCGCATCGGGCAATTACAGCTTTTTATTCTTTTGTTGGAATAGTTAAGACACGATGTCTTAGTGCTTCCCTAGATTAAAATTCTCCAAGGGACATTTTTAAAGCAGGACCTTTTATTTTGTTCTTCATAGGGATCTCAACTTAGGAGTTAGAACAAGTCACATTCTAACATAGCCTAGCCAGTTTTTTTTTTTTTTAAATTCTGTATTTACTTTAACTTAAAATTTTTAAAAATATTTATTTATTTATTTATTTATTTATTGGTGTTTTTTTGTTTGTTTGTTTGTTTTCTGGTACCAGGAATTGAACTTATGACCTTGCCAGGCAGGCATTGTGCTGCTGAGCTAAATCCCCAGCCCCTAATTGGTGTTTTTTGAGACATAGTTTCACTATGCAGTTGAGGCTGGCCTTGAACTTATTTTGTAGCCAGGCTAGTCTCGAACGGGCAGCCGTACTGAGGCTTGAGGCCGGGGCCTATGCAACGAGCTATACCCTCAGGCCCTTTAAAATTTTGAGATGGGGTTTTGGTAAACTACCCAGGTTGGGCTTGAATTTATGATCCTCCTGCCTCAGCCTCCAGGAGTGCTGTGAATGGGCCATGCCTGGCAGGTTTTAGCTTTCATACTCCATGGCATGGGAATATTTTAATCTTTCAAGTTACCTGAAATGGGGCTGGTGGTGTAGCTCAGCGGTAGAGCGCTTACCTACCATGCATAAGCCCTGAGTTCAATCCCCAATGCTCCCCCAAAAGATATATAAAATCTAAAGCAAACTAACATCCTTACACTTACTATGCCAGGACTTTATGTACATTATTCTGTCTAATGCTCAAAATAGCTCAGGGCTATAAAATCCGTGTTACTCTCGCAGGAATGACTGCCTAGCTCCACACCCTTGACGCTGCAATGAACAGCCACTCAAGGCCCGCAGGCGGTGGAAATCAGGGATGATGTTGAAAACAAAATGGACCGAAATCAGCATGGAGACAAATGAGGTTCAGCCCAATTAATAATTGTACTGAAGTCCTACAGGGAATGCTAGACTGACGATCTGAATCTAGGTTTAACTCTGAAGCCCCTGTGGCAAGCAGTCCTCTGTGCTTATAAATATTTACACAAGCAACTTTAGCCCCACAAATACATGCCAGATACTAACTGAGACAGACTGTTAGAAAACAAACACAATGAAAAAGATGTCACTCATATTCCTTAAGAACACCCAGTCAGTAGGACCAGCAGGAAAGTAGTTACAAAGTAACACCAGGAGCCAAGAGTGGTGGCCCACACCTGTGATCCCAGTATTTGTGAGGCTGAGGCAGGAGAATTCCAAGTTAGAGGACAGCCTGGGCTATATAATGTACTTCCCCTCAAATAAGACCAGGGTCTTATATTGATTTTTGCTTCAAAAGATACACTAGGGCTTATTTTCAGGGTATGTCTTGTTTTGTCATGTACAACAAACCACATTTGCTCACATATAAGAATCCACATTTACTCATGCACAGAGATCTACATTTATTCAAATAGTCTTGTTATTTTCTGGAACTCATCATGACCCCGAATTCCAGTTTGTTTGTTTTTGTCTTATTGAGACAGGATCTCACTATGCAGTTCAAGCTGGCCTTAAACTCACTTTGCAGCCCAGGATGGCCTCTAATTTGCAGCGACCCTCCTGTCTCAGTCTCCGGAGTGCTGAGTGCTGGGATTACAGGCGTGCGCCACCATACCCGGCAAACCCCGAATTCCAGCCTGAACTTTTTGCAGCCCCCATTTCCTGTGGAACCGTTGTCCCCAGCCTCTCATGGCCACAGCAGCGCTCCCTTCAAGTGCCTTCTTGTGCCTGCAGCCGGCTCCTAGCGCACTGGCAACACAGCTGTCAGTGATTTCATCCCATGAATTCTTGGCCCACGTCACAGCCTCCTGCTGGCTGGGCTTCACCACATCCCCACGTTGATTTCTCTCCGTTCTGTCTTCTGCATCATCACTGATACACACACACACACACACACACACGCACGCACGCACGCACGCACAGTCCCTGAGTGGCTGTTCATGGCAGTACCAAGAGTCCGGAGCTAGGCAGTCATTCCTGCAGGAATTGCTACTTGATCTGTTCTTTTCTCTGCAAGCAAGTTCTTCGTCTTCATTGCGGTGAGTGGTGGCTGAATCCCAGACTCGAAGATCGCTTTGGCCACATGGCCAAACAAGCTGCAGCGTTCAACCGAGCCACTTCCTCAGGACTCCCGGGGGGCAGCGGGCCCTTTTGGTCCAAGAACAGAAACACCTGAAACACATTCAGTCTCGTCTTTCCTGCCCTTAGCGATGGTTAGAGGTGGGGCTTCCTTTCCATCCACAGGAACTGCGGAATACAGGCCACACGTGTGCTCCGGTCCTCAGTCGGGGAACACAGACGGCGGGCGCCCCTCATACGCACTGCGCGTTGAGGTCCTTGGCCGTGAACACTGTAGCTTCATCCACAGGAACTGCGCTGGAGAGCTGGTATTTAGGAAAGTCCAGGCCGGCCACAAAGGCCGTGATGCAAGCGCATGTTTAGTAACTCCAGGATTTCCAGCTTGAACAGCGCCTCGACCTTAGACACAGATCAAATGGTATCGCTGAAGGAAGCCACCCAGCCAGTGCCGGGATGCTCTGAATTCGTCGGGCGATGTTTCTAACTGTGGTGCCAGCTCAGGGCAAAGGCTTGACCGCCAGCCCTGCGCACATCCACAGCCTTCGCTCCCTGTCAGCGATCCACTGCGATCTACTCGCAGACATCTTCAGCTCATGGCAGGAAGCCTGCCTACCCGATCCGCACTTGCGCTTCTCAGTGGTGTGCCGTTCCCCTCACCCCGCACCCCGTCCACCTGCTGACCGAGGTTAGTACCCTGAGCGCCACTTCCGGACCATGCGGAGATCCAGCTGCTTCCCTTTGCCGAAAGCCCCAGGGCTCCTGCGCCAGTCCTCCAACGATGCCCCTCTTTCTGCGCTCAGCCTGTCTGCTGCTCTCAGGGCTGTGGGTCTGGTGGTCACAGCTGGTTCTGAAGGGTTCTGAGCAACTCTGGGCAACACCGCTCATCTTCTGAAGCAGATGCCCTGCCCCCACTGCCAAGGGGGCGGCTCGAGGTCCCAGCCTGGCTCGGGCTCCTGGCCAGTGTGCTGCTGCCAGGCCCAGTGGACAGAGCGGCCTGATGGACCTGGGGCCGGTACTGCCCATCCCAAGCCCCTGGCCAGTTCTGGCTGCATTTCCGGACGGCTCAAAGGCTTTTGTCTTTAAGTAGTCATGTGACACTCAACGTGGAGAGGCCTTCTGATACCTGGGTCACTGGGGAGCCCTTTACCGTGCGAACGCCTTGGAGTTCAAGCACACAACCGTAGGTGGCAGAGCCTCCCGAGCGCCTGGGTGCGTGGCACCTGCTGTCACGTGTGGTCTGCCACTGACCAAAATGTTACAGGTGCCAGGCTATACGGACTTTCCTCCTAGTGTTCATATTCTCAGATGCCACCGACCACCCCATCTGTGGTGTCTAGAAAGCCAGTATCATGAGCTCCTTGCGAGTGGACCCTGCAGCCCCAGCCCAGCCTTGATGACCAGTGACTGCCGGTGTCCGAGTGTCATCTCCTGAGAGTCCCCGGGCCAGAGCTGCCCAGTAAGTCACTTCTAAATTCCTGACTCATAGACACTGTGAATTAACAAATGCCTGTTATTTTAAATCACTGAGTTTTGAGGGGTATTTTGTCATATAGCAACAGATAAATACAATAGGTTAGAAAGAATTAGCGAAAGAAAGAAAATTCTAAGACAACACCATGTGCCCTTCAGAACTCCATTCTGGTGTTATAAACACAATCTTATTTTGAGAGCTTTATTTATTTATTTTTCCTGCACTGAGCACTGAGTGCACGGGCTCCCTACTGAGCTACATCTCTGGCCATCTTTTACTTTTTGTTTTGGGACAGTGTCTCACTAAGTCATTAGGTTGCCTAGGCTGGGCTCAAACTTGGTACCCTCCCGCCTCAGCCTCCCAGAGTGCTAGGATTATAGGCATTACCATCACACCTCGTTTAGAGGTCTGTAACTTGAAAGAAATGATGAACTGTACTCTGTATTCAATTTTAAATTTGAAAAACATCCATTACTTATAGTTTCAGTCCAAATGTATTAGGTATGAAAAGAGGTGCTCTTAAAATTCGTGGTTTACTAATGTATCCAGACAGAGTGGAAAATTAAAGAAATAAACATAAAATGAGAAGAATATTCTTTTTTGGTAATTTCCTTTTTTCCTTTAGTCAAACTAGCATGGATTACGAACTAGACCGCTCTCTGTGCGAGGATACACTCTCAAGCACACAAAAGACATGCCGCAGTGACGCACAGACGACGCACAGATGACGTTTCACGTGGACACACCATGTGACGCACAGACGCCATCTCACGTGGACATGCCACGGGGACGCACAGATGACGCACAGACGTCTCACGTGCACACGCCATGGTGATGCACAGATGACGTCTCGAGGACACGCCACGGTGACGCCCACGCACCTCTTGATGGCCACCAGCTCCCCCGACTCGTTACTCTTGCCCATCAGCACGCTCCCATAGGTGCCGTCGCCCAGCTGCCGCATGGTTGTGTAGCGGTTCATCTCGGAGAAGTAGCAGCGCCGGCTGTCGGCTGGAGCGCCCTCCTCGGGGGACAGGCACTACACACGTCCTTGTTTTGCTCGCTTTTGCCCTCACTGTGCTGTCGCTATACCGGGGACAGGGCTGTCGTCATTATCACGGGCTCCTCCTCGAACTACGCAGGCTCATGACATTCGGCAGCCAGGAGTCTGGCAAAGAAACACCGCCTCCTTCCCTACAGACACGCTGCGAGAAAGAAAACAAAAATAACGTGAGCTTCCACGAGTCTCTGCAAAACATTTCCTGGCAACCTAAAGTGCAGAGAAAAATGAGAAATACTGTAAATATATCTGTCAGCTACTCATCTGTGCTATGTGGACTGAAGTTCACGTGTAATACACTGACATTAGTAATGCATTTAGTAGTCATTGTAATAAGCTGCTTATTCTATGATTGTTCAGTATTGTTTCAATGATTGGTATGAGTACTTTTTTGGGGGGGTGGCGGGCATAACCTATATTGTTTCAAATAAGATCTAGGAAAAACTTGGCATTGGATCCCTTAGCTGGGTTTGCTGGTACACACCCGTAATCCCAGCACTCTGGGAGACTGAGGCAGGAGGATTGTAAGTTTGAGCCCAGCACGGGCAACTTAGTGAGATGCTGTCTCAAAATTTAAAAAACGTTTTTTAAAAGCGTTGGGAATGTAGCTCAGTGTGAAGGTCTTGGGTTCTGTCCCCAGTACTACACACACACACACACACACACACCATATCTATTCCTTGAATCAATTTTTGTATCACATTTAACAGAGAATATTAAACTTAAAATTATACTCTTGGTAAAAACTCCTAGTAGTATATAACTATCCCAATGAGGAATGGTAAACAAGGTAAACTTGTTTTATATGAAGAGAATGACACTACAAACCAACTTCATATTCTATTTAAAAATACACTACTTCATTTTAATTAAACTAGAAAATAATGAATAATTAGGAATTACTATCAGACTTGCTACAAAGAAATGAGAAATATAAAACCATTTCCATATATATGTATATATACTTATATCTATGTCTACTGGAGCATATGTGATTACTTCTGTTTAGTTTTTCTTTTTCTTCCAGTACCGGGAATCAAACTCATGACCTTGGGCTTGCCAGGCAGGCGCTGTGCCGCTGAGCTAAATCCCTAGCCCCTGTGATTACTTTGGAAGAAGTTCAAGAGACGTAATTGAAGAATCTGGAAAAGCTGCATCTCACTGAATCGTTAGGTTGGGAAAAGGAAGCCTGGGGTCTGAACCTTGGTGTAGCTTCAAACTCCCTGCGTCACAGGCAAAGCTTTCAGTTGACTGCACCTCAATTTCCACAACCATAAAATGCAGGCAGCCCAGGTCTAAAACCCCAGGAGGCTGTAACTGTCTTCTGGACACTCTGAACCTGTCTCTCTTGTTCAGAGCAGTTAGTTACTAAGGACGACACCCATCGACACAGAAATATACTTTCTTATACCGGAAAGGAAAACAAAATCAACTAAAATAGAATGGAAGTTTGGTAAAATTGCTGTATTCTTACCAGATCTCCACTATGGTAGCTACTCTTGGTGCCAGCAGTACGCATACACGTGGCACTAAGATGGCAGGGCCAGGTAAATGAGTGGCCCCTGTCACCGTGGCGGGTCTCCCAGTGCGCCCAGGCCCCACGGGGCAGTGGGGTCCACTTGGCCGTGGATGGGCCACGCCAGGGCTCTTCCTCAAGAAGCCATTACTCAGTGGACCAAAAGGACAATGCAGCAGAAATCCCTGGTGACGTCTCTGTTTAATAAAACCCCAGGAAACTTTTAGGAAAGGAGCCCACAGGCATGCGCTGGTGCAGTCTTCAGGTATTCTCAGTCCAAGTCACAGAAACAAAGTTAAGAGCCCTGCAAGTCATTAAGCTCAAACCCTTCTGGTGGCAAATGCTTTCGTCTACATTCTGGCTTGCTTTCATTCAAACTGGTGATAATGTGCTTTTAAACAAGTAAGGGAACAAATGCAGGGCAGTGTGTTGTATTCAGTTACTTTGTCATTGACTTGCTGTGGGCACCTTGTAGAAAGCAGTGTGCTCACATGCCCCACCCCCTGCTTGCCCACGTGACTTGCTCTGGCCAATGAAACACAAGCAGAGGCAACACAGCCCCCCCCCCCCTCAACTAAGCAGAACCTCAAAGAGGTATCCTGGGATCTGCACTAAGTTCCTTCAGCCAGGAGTGTGGCACGTCCCAGAGCAGGCTGCTCTTCAGCCTGAGTCCTGGGATGAAGAGAATACGGAGGACAGAAATGGCACCACCGCCAACCACAGTTGAAAGGGGATGAGAGTGAGAAATAAAGCTTTGTGCTTGCATCATTTATTATCAAAGCAGCAGTGACCAATAAGCAGATAAGGATCACAGCTGCCCTTTTCCTGTAAAAGGGTCATATAACTAATAGATAAGCTACTATACCACGCTCCTTCCCAGAGAGGCCCACATAATTGGTACTTCCTTATGATGAGATGATACATAAGCAAGAGATGAGGGCACAGCAATTGTGTAAGAACTTTAAAAATGGTGGCAAGTACCTATTATCCGTTAAACAGTTCAAGGAAAACACTTCAGGCTCCCTGTCAGTTCTAATTTTTCAATGACCACATTACATAGCATGTGACAGTTTTCCAGAATACTCCCATGTAAGTCTGTCAGCAGTTCTGTCATGCAGAGGCAGTTAATGGATCCAGAGATGCCAAACGGCTTGTCCGAAGTCACAGTGGAGGCCGATGCAAGAGCTACACCAAGGCCAGTTTGCCATAGCTCCTCCCATTAATCATGTGCTGTGCATCCAAATTCCCTTGCTGAAGTCCTAACTCCAGAAGGTAGGTGGAGGTGAGGCCTCTAGGAAGGGATAGTCGTGAGTCACCAGAGGGCACCTGTGCGGAGACACCTTACAACAAGAACACAGCCGTCTTTCTGGGAACCAGGAAGTCAGAATCCACTGGCACCTTGGTCTTGGACATCCCTGCCCCAGGACTGTGAGAAATACACTTCTGTAGTTTATGCCACTGTCTCGGTTACTTTTCTCTCATTGCTGGGACAAAATACCTGACGCCCAAAATTAAGGAAGGAAAGGTTTATTTCGCTTACAATTTGTGGAGGTTCAGTCCATACTTGGCAGGTTACAAGGCAGAGTGGCACATGGCAGAGGACTACAGCTCATGGCGGCAGAACACAGCAAAAGCAACAACACCAAAGGGAGGAATGGCCCCAAGAAGCCTCTTCCTCTCCCTTACATATGCAAACTATCCACTCCAGGGCGGGTGTAGCTCTCATACCCATAATCAATCAAACTCTAAAAGCCTGCCCCATGGCCACATGAGGCTTTGGGGGGACACACAGACACAAACCATAACAGCCACCAATCTATAGTACTCCGTCATGGCAGCACATACTGACCAAGACACCAGTGCCAGGGTCTGGGCTGACTTAGAATCAGACTCTCACTGGGCAGCAAAAGGAACTGGTATTGATCAAGACCAAAACAAACAGGAACATAAAGCCCTTGAGAGCAGATAACATACATTTAAACAGCATTATGGTCAGTTACTCTAATGTAGACACAAGCTTCAAAAAATACTAGCATTATACTAACATTTCTGTATTTCTATTCTGAACTTTCCATTTAATGGAAATTAATCAAATCTCATAAATGGAGATAATAATTAATGATCTGCTTATTGTTTGTGAGCTAATATCAGCACTATTAGCAGCAGAGCTTATGCTATATTGTTTCTTTTAAAACATTCCTAATATATAGTCCTTTTAATTTAATTTAAAAAAACCTTTATTTGGAGATAATTTGAAGCTTACAGATAAGTTGCAAAAAAGGATCAGAGAACACACAACCTAGATTTATAATTATGGATGTATCACGCCATTTTTTTTATCATTTGCATACACTACGCACATATGCACACATGCGTGCACGCACGCACACACACACACACACACACACAGGTGCATGCACACATTGCCTTTTCTGAAACATTAAGGTTCGCTTACAGACATCACAGCCCTTTACCCCTACTAAAGATAGTACAACACTTAAGCGAACCACTCCTATTCCTGACTCTTTAGTCATGCCCTTTTTAGCACCTTCTCTCTGTAGCATAGGATCTAATTTACGATCAGTTATTGTGTTTAGTTGTCACATGGCTGTGGAGTTTTCAAGTACACGACCAGCTATAAGTTTAAAGTAGCACATAAAGTAATGCCAATCTTAATGTGCTTCACAATTATACTGGAATTTTTATGACTTGATAGAATTTTATTTTTAAATACTATTTGACAAGGAAATAAATACAAAAGATGAGCTGCCTCAAGACATAATAAAAACTATTCCCAATCCAGAGGATCTGGAAAGTGAATCAGCAAGTAGCTACCTGGGCCGCGCTCTAAGCAGCTTTACAACTGATCACTCCCTAACTTACTCTCCAGCTTGTATCCTGCCACTGGGAATGGCTATTGTTTAATCAGGCAGGAAAGAATCATGACACAGGCTGAATATCCCCTATTTGAAAGGCTTGGGACCAGAGGAATTCGGGATTTTTAAGGTTTTTGAATTCTGGAATATTTGTTTTTTGTTTTTTGTTTTTGTCTTTTTGAAACAGGGTCTCACTATGCAGTTCAGGCTGGCCTTGAGCTCACTTTGTAGCCCAGGCTGGTCTCGAACTCGCAACGATCCTCCCGCCTCAGCTCCCAGGAGCTGGGATTACAGGCATGCGCCACCACACCCGGCAATATTTGTATATTCATAATGAAATAACTTTGAGAGGGAACTTGCACCAAAACATGAAATTCATTTATGTTTCATACCCTGCACACCTGAAGATTCTTTTATGCTGTATTTTAATGCACTTGTGTTTTGATCACAACTTGTGGTCAGGTGTGGAATTTTCGTCTTGTGTTAAGTTGCTGCTCAAAGAGTTTCAGCTTTTGAAGTGTTCTGGATTTCAGAGTTTTGGATTAGAGATGCTCAGCCTGTATTTATTAAGCAGTCAAAGAGTAGTATTGACATACTCTAGTAAAGATTTACCAACCTTTAGGTGAAACTCTTGTTTCCCACTGGGAAACAAGATTATAAATCCCAGGTGTGTCTTGGGATCTAGAAATTTTCATATTTTAGAAAACTAGTATGTTATCTATGCCACCTGCTATGTAACATGCCCAAGCAGCATCTTTATGACCTGCAGAAAAAAGTATGCTAAATAAAATAGATCCAGACCATAAATTACCCCACGCCATTCAGATCCAATTTTGTTGCAAAAGACTTTATACAATTTTATTTTTAAATGTTCATTTTTTCAGAGCTTCCTGGATTTCAAAACTGAGGACCATGGATCTGTACTGAGTGAAAGGTATGCACAGATCTTTGAGGTTTCAATAGGTCCTGGTGTTATTCCCTCCCTAACACAAGCTGCACAGTAGCCTGACCTCATTGTAACCATGTTCAAGGGTTCCCTCCCACTGTTCTATTTTAGTTTTGCATTTAAGGAACTGTTTCTCAGTACACAGCTCTGTATCATTTCCTTTGAGAAATCTCCCACTTTGTCACAAGGGTTTGTGCTTAGTTGCAGATGTTTGGTAACAAAATGTACAATACCATGATGAGAAATTGTTTTTAAAATGTCCTTTAGAATTTAGTTCTTCATTCAAAGATTGTTTATCTCTCACAGCAGCACTTTCATTTCCACAAAACAAAATCACAGAAATCGCTTGTCTATTATAGGTAGGACTCTGGGCCCAGTAAGGATATACTGGAGTTTTCAAAGTACTCAAAGCTTCCAAAACCAGGCTTCCTGGAGAAAGACACACATGTGCAGAGAGGGACAGCAAAAGCGTGCTGTTTCCTATCTTCAGGAAGGTATCTGTTCACAGGACTTCAGAAGAATCATGTGGAGTCTTCAAATAAGGGGGAATGTGTATTACCTTCAACCTTATTTTATTTCACATAGGGAGGGATCAATCCCTCCAAAGGCACATGAGAAATATTGCTATGATCTTGGAAAAAAGGGCCACAGATTCCATTTCTGTTTCAGGGTTTCTTCATTGTTCCAAGTTTAGGCCTAAACTAAGGGGCTCAAAAATGCCACCAAGTGGTTTCCAGTTTGTTTGAAAAAAAGAATAGTTTTGGGAAATGGTCTTTGTGTTATATATAAACACTGATTCAAAATATTCAGAAATAAATATAGAGAAAGGCAACATCTCTGTACATTGTTCCAACTACATCATGTATGTATTTTTCTTACTTTTCCCTTTATCTGTATAAGCAAACACAACTCTGAAAGGTCTTTTGGCCAGGCATGGCGATGCACACCTGTCATCCCTGCAATTGGGAGGCTGAGACACAAGGATTGCTAAGAGTTTGAGGCCATCCTGGGCTACACAGTGAGACCCTGTCTCAGACAGACAGACACAGAGGGAGGGGGGGAGGGAGAGGGAGAGGGAAAGAGAGAGAGGGAGAGGGAGAGGGAGAGGGAGAGGGAAAGAGAGAGAGGGAGAGGGAGAGGGAGAGGGAAAGAGAGAGAGAAAGAGAAAGAGAAAGAAAAAGAGAAAGAGAAAGAAAAAGAGAAAGAGAAAGAGAAAGAAAGAAAAGAATTAAAGGTCTTTTGGGATGTTTGTTTTTGTATGATGTGCTCTGATTTAACAATACATGGATTAAGATATGTTTCTTACCATTTAGGAGTTTAAGTCAGGATTTTGCAAATTATTACTAGCCCATCAGATTGCTATGTGTTCTTTTCCAGCTCTCTAGTTAAGGTGAGATCCACTGACTCTTTTGAGGAAATGTTCTCTCTCTAGGTTTCCTGATTCTTTCTGGTTAAGTAACAATATAGCAGGTATGTTTGTGTAAAAGGCTATCATGTTCCTCACATCTGTAAGATCATAAAATAACACCATGAAAGGATTAAACGACCTGTCCATAATCCATCAGCGAGTCAGTGGTAGTATTTCAAGTGGATCAAATACTTGCATTAGGCTTGAAGCTGTCTGGTTAGTGTAGTCTCCTGATTGATTATAAATAACCCAATCTTACGAGCTGTGTCAGCTTTTACAGTGGAGATGCAGCCCTGGGAACTGTTCCCCGGGCTTCTAACCTCTCAACTCCGTCTCTTCCGCTTCCTCTCCCAATCCTCTCCCTGAAACGCTGGCACACTGCTATCTACCAGGCAAGCGCAGGAGGGTTTGAGGGCAAACCCGGGCTGCACCTGGGCCCACCAGATACCAGAAAAAAACCCCAAAATTCCCAGAAATGGTGAAGGGGAAGGCCTAGCAAGGTCCAGGGAGAAAGACTTTATGTGAAGCTCACTCATAAAACTAATGTAATTCAGAATGACAGGGCTCGGTAATCCTGGTGTATTAGTGCATGCCTGCAATCTCAGCACTTGGCAGGCTGAGGCAGGAGGATCACTTAAGAGTTCAAGGCCAGTCTGGGCTACATAGTTCAAGGCCAGCCTAGAATACATACTGAGACCTTCTCTAAAATAAATAAATAAATAAATAAATAAATAAATAAATAAAGTAAATGAAGTGGTTCAGTAGCATCACTTTTCTCTCATGGTAACCTCTAACCAAGGATGACAAGACCTAAGGATAGGAGAAGCAGAGAGTAAGGAGGAAATTGTAGAAGGGAACCGGAACCGCAGAGGCAGCTCTCCGGTACACGGTTGGATGGGAAGGAGGATGTTACCCAGGAGGCGGGGACAGAAATGTAGAAGAGGCACCCAGGCACCATCGGCGAAATCTACCCAACAACCTGAAAACCCAGAGTTCACTGCCTTTCTCTCCTCCACAGCTGAGCCTGCAGGTCATGGCCATCATCAGCCCTTGATATGGGAGGGAAACCCCGCATCCATACCAGTTCTATGAGCGCAGCTAGTCACTCCCTCCTTGATACCTCTCTCACTGACCCGGAAGCCCACCCAGGCGGGAATCCTATCATGGCAAATTCACTGTAGGCCTAACTCACCAAAGTCAAATAGGCACTGAAAACACACATTTTATTTCAACCAAGGCTAATTACAGGATAAGGTGTATTATATTGTATTTATGGAAGAATGAACAAGGACCACAACCATGTCCCGGCTTCTTTTTGTTTGAGGGGTGGAGTGGTGAACATCATGGATTTGACATTCATCTTTAAGCAGGTCAGGTCTGGGGCTCTGTGAGAATCTGTCCAGTTTACCTGAACTTTATATAAAACACATTTTCATCGGATGCTTTCAAAGGTTTCCGCTGGGCATGGTGGCGCGTGCCTGTAATCCCAGCACTTGGGAGGCTGAAGCAGGAGGATCACTGTGAGTTTGAGGCCAGCCTGGACTACATAGTGAACTCAAGGCCATCCCGTGAATTACAATAGTGAGACCCTGTCTCAACCCCCCCGCAAAAAAAGCAAAAAAAAGTCAAACACACTTTAGAAAGATTTATTTTGAGCCATGTTAATTGTAAAATAAGACTGCAGGGTGAGAAGCTGATTATTTCAGCTGTCCCTTCCATCCCTTTAAAACATAGGGACAACGGCTTAATGTAAAACAGCAGGAGTATGGAGGCAGTTTCTTTTTAATCAGGATTTGCATGTACCTATGCACATAAACGATCTGTGTAGCACAGCAGGGTCCTAAGCTGATCACTATTCACAAATGAGTACCTGTAACTTAAAAAACAGAGCCTGCCGATGCCCCTCACTCACACTCAGAAACTCTACTGGTTACATCTATTCATCTTTGCTGACACATGGAAAACTAACTCTGCAACATAGGGGTGCGTTAACATGCCTTCTTATATACACGAATATATGACATACAGATGCATCAAAAACCCAAGTAAATATGATAACACTGTGCTCCTCAATTAATGTAACAGAATCGTTAGGAGATCACAACGTCCAACAATCAGACTACAGCATTATTCCTACGGGTTAAACAAATATTCTGTGCCAATTTAAAGGACATGTATTTAGAGTATCAACTATAGGACTTCGTTATAGGGGTATATAAGTACCCCTGATAGCTTCGCTTTCTAGTTTTATTTTTATCCAAGTACACAGTTGCCGTTGAATGGCATAATTACTGTAAATGTGGGCTTTCTTTGCAACAGCTTTGCCCAGCTAATAAGGGATTTAGGTGGGATTACAGGAGATTAGCCTGGAGGGCATATGGACGGTCAGACTTGCATCAGCCAATCACAGAGTGGATAAGGTTTGGGCGGTTCTGACTTGTTAGAACATTCAAGAATGTTACAGCTCCAAAGCTAGTGTCACTGTTTGTAGAACATAACTGTAATTAGTGTTTTAAAAATTACTATGTTGGTTAAAAAGCAAAACAGAAAACACTTTTCAAACTAACCATGAGGGTATCTCCAGAAATTTCAACAGGTGTTGTTATAATGGGAAAGCAAATATTCTGTCTTAAATAAAAACACAGGGCTCTGTGCTAACACTCACAAAGTATTTAAAAACAAAATTAAAGAACTCTGGGAGGCTGAGGCAGGAGGATCTCAAGTTCAAGTCCAGCCTGGGTAACTTCACAGCCTAGCCAGACCTTGTCTCAAATTAAAAAATTAAAAAAGGACTAGGGATGTAGCTCAGTACAAAGGCCTGGTGTTCAATCCCCGTTTTAGTGGAAGGGGAGCAAGGAAACTCAGTTAAAGAAACACAGCCACAAAGGGAAGTATCAAACATCTGACCAGGGCCGGACTGTGCCTAGGCAGTAAGTGGCCGCCTTCAGGAAAGTCTCTCCCTGCCTCATCCCTGCCCCAGGTTTTCGGGTGCGCAACTCTTTGGACGCCATGGGTTGATTTTCTGACTAAAGTAACTACAACTTTGGTTCCCTCTTCGTTGTTAGAACAACTGTCTGTGCATTTTTAAAGATTAGGCACGCTTACACACTGCTTTCCTGGGGAATCGATACTAAAAGCCTCAAAAGGAGTCTCGCTGCTCCGTACGGCCCGCTCGGACCTGCTCCTAAGTTAGAATTCCCCATTTGCAGTACGGGACCGGCTTCTGTCACACGCACTCCGATCCCTCTCTGCAACCAGGGGCCCTCAGAGGACCGCGGGGGCCGGAGTCCCGCCGGTGTGCAGGGACCGGGTGGCCCGGGGCCCTGCGTGACCGGCCGTCGCGGCTGGGCAGCCCCAGGCCCCGCAGGGTCCCGGGCGGGGATTCCACCGTGACCCGCGCGCCCCTGGGGTGCACTGGCGAGGTCTGCATTTGGACCGATTCTTCTCGCTCCTTTGAGATAGCTGTGAGCTCAGGTCCGCCTCCTCCCAGACCCCGCCCCGCCCCGCACCCCCTGCTCGAGACTCCCCACTTCCCAGGGCCGCAGGGGCCGCGGGGGAGCAGGCGAGGGGAGGCCCTGGGGCGCAGGTCGGGCAGCC